GATTTGATGCACGAGAAAATAGTGCATATTGGACGTGAAGAAGGGAGCAAGTTGCACGTGGGGAAAAAAAACGCGCCTGATTTAAATGTCACACCTGAACGCTCACATCCTTTTAATTATGTTTGAAATTATGAACATTGCTCAACATCATGAAAATTGAACCTTATTTTCAATAAGCAATCCTGAAAAATATTTGGGGGTGCTTAACTTTTTTCCAGGTGTATATATGCAACTATAAAATAGCTACAAGATAAACAAAGCTATTTGAAACTTACGTGCACCCAAGTTCTTTTGACATGAAAATAACTTTGGCAAATCTTGGTTCAAGAGGAAACAGTGCCATCTGTTTTCCCTGGGATGTGAGCTGGTGATAAAGTTCACATAATTCGGTTACTAATAAGCAAACGTCCACAAAAATCCAAACTGAAGGTTACAGATATATAATCATATATAGTATTTTGTATCACATATTGAGCTAACTTGCTGATAACTACATTTCCTCATTTACAGTGATTCATATACACACTACTTGAAGGAAGAAATGCAATAAATATATTCTGTTTAGAATAATATAAAGCTATACTTGTTTTTGAATGAATAAGAAAATCCATTTAACGCTAAAGTTTTTCCACTGTCAAAATATTTGATGGATTTATAAGCTCATCCAATTTGCATTATCTAATTTTCAATTATTAAACTGTTTGATTAAACAGTGTTTCCTGTTAGAGTTACAACAGCTGTTTGATTGAACAAGTGTTTCCTATTAAAGTAACAACAGCTGTTTGATTAAATAAGTGTTTCCTATTAACCCTAAGTGCATGCACATTGTTGATTTACTATAAACAATAATTCTAACTTTACTTAATGTGTTTTCACTTAAGATGGTAAACTTTTAGTACAAATTACATGTCTGTTGTACAAATAAAAATAAAATGTTTAATAAAGTATTTCAACTGAAGATTTGTCCCTGTATTTACTTTAGTCAGTCTGATTAGTCTGAGTATAAGATGATTTTCAGTAAAACTTTATATTTCATCTGTCATTTTCACTACCTCAATGCCAGACAGGCTCAGTCACTCAGTCCATTTCACATACTTTGTAACCCCTTTTTCTTTTTGGAATGACTGAAAATTGTGACAAAAACTTACAATTATTTATCTTCAGGTTCATAAAAGTTTACAACTGTTTTCTTTTTTTGTTGCTTTCTGAATAGTTTTTAATAGCACAAATACCAATAATTCACCCAGTAAGAGTGCAGAGAGTTTAGGGTAAACAAAATTTCAAGTTATATCATGCAACATCTAATTACATATGTTCCTTGTGTGTTTCTTGATTAAACAAGTTTCCTATTAAGGTTACAAAAAATGCTTGATTAAACAAGTGTTTCTTGCTAGGGTTACAACTATCCAACTGTTTGAATAAACCTTATAAATGACCAACAACAAAACACATCAATGCTTTTTGTATTATTTCATGTATTAAAATAATGATTACAGTTATCTAACTACACAATATATACCTTCCAACAAGAGTCTTCTTTTTCCACAGCACTCAAAAGTTGAAGCTGCAACAAAGCACTGGATACTATCTGCAGATTAAAAGAGTTAAATATAAAGTATTAAATGAAAAAGGCATTTAGATGTTTAAATGTGATTCTTACTTTGCTAAACTGGCCAAAAATACCTATTTAAATAAAATCAAAGGAAATAATTGATCGGAATCATTATTAACAAATTCTCCAGACTTTTTTTTTACTCTCATCTGTCTATACAGTTATCTATTTCTCTTTGATTACTTTAGTTTATCTTCATTGGGTCCACATACACAGAAATGACCAATATGGAATCGCAGATATACAAGTGTTATTAAACATAAATCTCATCAACCTGTCAAGCCTTCTTAAATATCATCATGAGAGACATTATAAATGCTAAAATTTTAGAAATAGTGACTTACTTTGTTAATGCAGATTCATAATAATATTTTCCTTTTCCAACTTAATTTTCTATCAGATCTTCACCAACACAAATTGCTTCAGTAAAATGCGTGATTACAATCACACTTCAAAACAAAACCCGATTCTGAACACTACCGCTTTTTTTTGTAATTATACTTAAAATATACAAAGTCAATCCCAATTTCCATGAAATTAAAAGTTAATCATAATTTTCTCAGAGTCACTTTTTGCTTCCTGGTTTCTCACATAAAATATTTCAGTTATAATTTTCCTACACTGAAAATGTATTTCCAACAGGTACTTACTTTTACTCACATACATAGCTATTCTCATTTAGTGCTGCCCTCTATCTGCAAACATTTTTTCGCATTCAACAAGTCTTTCACTCCCACACACCCCTTGATTCACATGGTTTAACTTATTCTCACATGCAAATTATTATGTGACAACCCTCCACCAATAGTAGTGCCACATACCCACATGACTTCCTCTATGCTGTTCTACCTAACTATCACTTTTCGTTTTCGGGAGCCAGGGTCTGCACAAACTTCTCCCGATATTGTACGTCTTATTGTTAGGTTAAGGTTTTTAAATTACAGAGATATACTTTGTTCTGCACAGTTCGATCAGGCTTAACAAGTGTGTTATTTTTGGTTTCCCTGTAGTTCATCTTATGGGTAAATCAATAATTAGGTTAAATATCTTCTTTTCTTCAACACATAACATCTTATACATATGTTTATTTCACTACACATTTACCATTTCATTTTCATAATTCTTAATAAATTATACTTCTCACAATTAATTTAGTTTGTGAAGATCACTGGGAGATGTGGTCCACCTTACCTACTCCCAATATTGCTTGCCTTCATATTACAACTGCTGAACCCACTCAGGGCATCCTAGATTTTATCAGTTTTTCTCCACATGACTATGGCTTGCTTTCCCAGGCCTCTACTGCAGAATCTGCTAGGCTTACCTCAGCCTTTTTTAGACATGTTACAAAGTATGATTTCCCCATCCTTCTTCAGACATTATGTTTCATGATGAGCATTTTGTTTCTATAGGGAGAGGTTACTTGCATGCCTTGCCCTCAACATGTTTTAGTTAACTTGCCTTAGCTTACCATCAGGCAGATTTTGTTCTTGATTCAATGTACTTAGGATCTCTGTCATTTGTATGGTGGCAGTCTTTGTTAATCCTATCCATTTTATCCCCCACATAGTTTTCCAGCCTTGTCTTACCCTATCAACTCTCCTACAGGAAACATCTACCGTACACCTCCTTTCTTAGGTATGACAACTATATCTAGGGGATTTTTATGAGCTACCTCTTCCTCATTCCCTCCATGTTTCACACTATAAGTGGCTTCTTTGCTTTTGAGATCTTTTGGGGTGGGACACTGTCTTGTCCTGTTTGTTTACCATCCACTTCTAATAGGAACTGATGGTCGGCTCTTTTCCTCCACGGGTCCATTTTTTTTGCATTTAGCATCATGTGCAGTATCTGTGATGTTATATATATATATTTGTTTTTGGTTGCTCTTTTGTTTCATTCTGAGTCATTGCCATCTTTATTCATGTTCCATGTTCAGCACCTTTCCATCCTTTACCTGTCCAATTTATGGGTTTCTTCATTCATCATGTATGCTAGATGCTCATTGGAGTTCTGGTTCGATCGGACCCCTCTCAAGCACTTCTTGGTTCTTCTCCATTTTTTATATGTAGTCTTTGATCACAATCAGGTGGGCAATTTCTGCAGGACTGAAATGGCCACAATACATGATCTTATTTTTCATTTCTCAGGATGCTATTTTAGGTATTTTTGCCATTTGGTTCAGTACAAGTTTTATGTCTTTCCCTTCAGACTTGTTTCGGTTTCATATGTCTTTTGTCAGGTGGTCTACATTTTACCCGACTTCAGCATTTTGGAAGATTTTACAAAAAATCACTACTTGGACATCTGGCTTTGATTAGCTCCTTCCAAACAGTGGTGGTCATAACATACTCATCTGCTTCTTGCAAAAGCAGCTCAGGTGGTTGGATTTTCCAGTTGGATAAGTTTTTCCTGTTACCTACCTAACAATCTCAGCTATTTCAGAAGTGTCTTTTTAAACACCCACCTCCATCAGGACCATCCAGATTCAATCGATGGAGCTTTCTTTATCCATGCCGTTACAGTTCGCTATCTTACTGCTAGCAAGGTTCTAATGCATTGGGGGTTGTGGCTTCCATGGAAGCACTTCTCCCTTTGGGTCTGGCACATTTGCAATCTTTTCAGGAGATGCTGCAAGACCCACAGTCTCTTGTTATGGTTCCTTTGGATTCTTCTCTTAACATTTCCCCTTCCCTCTTTCCTATATGTGTTGGTGGTTGAACATATCCCCCACGTCATCAGGTTTACCGATTCCTTCCTCTCATCTGGATTTGTTTCTCTTCCCTAATGCTCATCTCCAAAGTTGTGGGCATGGGTTAGGTAGAATAGCTTAGAGGGAGTCACATGGGTGTGTGACACTACTATTGGTAGAGGTTTGTCACATGATAATTTGCATGCAAGAATCAGTTAAACCATGTGAATCGAGGGGTGTGTGGGTAAGGAACCTTGTCGGAATATTAATTATTATAACATAATAGTATTACCATTTCACTGGTTTGTTACAAGTTTAAATACATAAATGTAAGCCTGTGTTAGACTTCTAAAATTTGGACTTTGCATCTATCATAACATGGTATGGTGATCATACTCGTAGTGAAAAGCTTTATAAGTGAAAATTATCATAGGCAACTTGTACTCTTGGATAGCTCACTAGTAGAGTAGAGCACTGATTTTGCTAGTCAAGGGTCACAGGTTTAAGTTCAGGTACAAATTCAGGCACTGGAATCATTTTATGCTTATGTGTTTATCACATAAATATTTAATCTTATTTATTACAATTTCACGTCACTTAATGTATTATTAAAAAGATAACTTCTCTTGTGCTATAGTGGTAAATTTAAAGATTCTTCCATCTAAAGCCTATAACCAATTACCTTCAGCAAATTATAAAAAGTACTACTGATACATTTTCATTTTCCAGTGGAGACATTAAAATTTAGATTAAAAAATAGTGTGAATACCAATCACATCATATAATTATAATTTTTCTGACATGAATATGAGCATGCATCTTTTAAAGAGAAATGTAATTAACACTTGATCATCAAAAAATTCTCGGTAAATATCTTTTTTTCTCTATGATATTAAACTTTCTTTAATTGTACTCATTTTAACATCTTATTACATTTTTGTGTAGCACAACTATATCTAATTACCTCAGGTGAGGGTTTGTCCATAAAGTCAAAGTGCTCAACATCTTTGATACCAATTGCAAGTAACTGTAGAATCACACTTGCTAAATTACATCTGGAAGACAAGAAAATTTTAAAGTTTTTGGTCAATCAGAGTTTCCTAATAATTTCAATTTTTAATTAAAACAAGTTTCATTTTCACATTTGTACATTCTTATCTTAAAATTGAGTTTCACAAAATAATGTGAGTGATTTCTTTATACTAAAGAGAGGATAATCAAACTCCTACATTTTTATTATATAGTGAGTTAGGCATTACATGTTCTTAAAATACCCTGCTACATAGTATTCACATAACTTTCACAAATCGTCCTACTTTTTAATAGTTAAATAAACAATAAAAAAGGAAGTTTTCTTTTCCTATCTTTAAAACAGCAATAAAAAATGAATAAATACCTCTGAATTTCTGGAATACTATATTCTCTGAGATTTTCATATTCCTGCTTGGTGTACAGTCTGTAACAAACTCCACTATAAAAGAATAACAAAACCAAATGTTTTCAATTTATTTAGGAAGCTCATGGTATTATATAAAAAACAATAGTTTATCAATATTTTATTCTAGTTCCAAAATAGGAAACAACTTTCTGACAAACTTTAAGCTTCACTACTTCTGTTACATTTAAATAAGTTAGTAGTTAATTAGAAAATATAGTAATTAACACAATTTGTTAAAAACATTTTATAATTTAATTTTCTTCTTCAATGATAGTTAATACATTAAATGTTATTTTACAGCCTAATAAAAGAAATACTTCATCAAAAATATTTTCTCATGATTTTTTAAAACAATTTCTACAACAGTATTTTTTCCAGCAAAAATATTCCATGATCAGCTTGACAGTTAGTAAAATACTAGAGTATTTTTACCAAAGATTTAGTAGTTCAAAGAGCCATTTATTACTTCATATAAAAATAACATTTCCTGAGGGGTATACACTATGTATTTGAATTACTGAACAAATGCAGAGAAACTACATTTTTATAAGTTTTACAGAACTGAAATACAATTTCTTATACTTTACAAAAAATATTTTTTTTTCTGCATTAAACAGATGACATTTTGACCAACCTCATTTCTCTACCAGCCCTGCCAGCTCGTTGCCATGCTTGTGCCTTTGAGATTTTCTGTACTTTCAAAAGGTCTAAGCCACTTCCTGGATGGTATGTCCTGCCAAATTGGTAATAAAATCTATTAATTACTACTAAATGATACTGTAACCTAGTTTTTGTAAGCATCAGAAAAATAGAACAAGGTTTGCAGAATGTAAAATTCACATTTGGTTTATTCTAAGAACTTATGAGTGAAAGTAAAAAATAATGTACATTAATATGTAAATCACACTATATCTGCTACTTCCAGTCCCAACAAAGCCTTTTACTCAAAACCAGTGCTCATCAGGTTAGCTAATATACAACAGACACGGCAATGGTTTAGATGCATATACATATATTATCAAATAGCATGAGCGATAATTGTTATATTGCCAAAGTGTAATTTTTATCAATTCTATACGAGTCATTATTTAAAAATCATAATTATGGTAATAAAGACTAATAACATAATATTATTTTTATTTAAACATCAATAATGACATGGTAGACATTCTGTTCAAATGTAGTCAAGATTTCAACTTTTTTTTTGTTTTTCAATTTCGCGCAAAGCTACACAAGGGTTATCTGCACTAACCGTCCCTAATTTAGCAGTGTAAGACTAGAGGGAAGGCAGCTAGTCATCACCCCCCACCGCCAACTCTTGTTGGGCTACTCTTTCACCAACGAATAGTGGGATTGACCGTCACATTATAATGCCCCCACGGCTGAAAGAGCGAGCATGTTTGGTGTGATGGGGATTCAAACCTGGGAGCCTCAGATTGCGAGTCGAGCGGCCTAATCACCTGGCCATGCCGGGCCTAAATTTCAACTTATTGGTTACAAAAAACATTCTGGATATGTTGATGAATATGTATTGGTAAGATTGTCATCTATGAAATGTTTACACTGGAGAGACATGAAGTGATTTTAGAAAAAAAAATTCATGCTATCACTAGCATATTGATGAACACAGTAAGATAAACTGTCACAGGGAGAACACTGGTCATACTATAACAGCATATGAGCAAAATGGTTGCAAAAGAAAGTTAAGGAAGCACATTTTATTAAAAACAAACTAAACAGCAATGAATAACCAGGATATTCCCTATGTATCTTTAGATCTAATTTCTTGTTTTTTTTTAAAGTTTCTATAACATGAATATAATCGGTTGATATCTTGATATGTCTCAACATTTTATATTCATTTTTCAACTACTAATGGTCAAACATTTTTATCATTTAAACTTCAATTAGAATACTTCTAGTCAAGAAATTCATAATGTTGTTATTTCATGGTTTTGGTTTGGAGAAACATTTTCGGAGGTTAATTTTTAAACCTCTGTCCTCTGTTTATTATGTAAATCACACTTTCTAACTCATATTTCCACCACCAGAAGAGTGATATATTTGCATTAGTGAACCTTACAGATTAATCACTTACAAATTTTAGTTGTAGCAACAGTACAAGAGAAGACAACTGAAGTTTATATCATTCCTATTTTCTTAACATTACAAGATTACCTGTCTAAATTAGAAGTTTCTCTTGAAAATCTGCAAGGAACTAGATTAGGAATATAGTGTTGAAACATATACAATAGGCCTAACATAATGTCTTATGACAAATATAACGAATTTCCCTTCACAAACATAAACCACTTACATTTTATTTTTCAATCAAAGAGATAGAATGCTATCGGCCTACTGAAAATTCTTTTTTTAAACATTAATTTGAATCATACAAGAAAAATAAAATCATGTTAATATTGTGTCTATTTTCACTATAAACTATATTCAGTATAACTAATAAATATGATTACAGCCAACACAAATTATTGTATTATTAAAATAATAGTATTTGTTTGATTAATTATTTTATTTTAACTGAAAGTAAACTTAGGTATCTAAAATACTTTCAAGCAATGACACATAAGTTATTGAGTATTCTATCACATAAGAATTGAATGTAAATTTGGTAATTTCAATCTAGATGGCACATTAAGCAACACATTAGTTAAACAGCTAAGTCAAACTCCAAGGTTCAGGCATAGTCATCCCTAAATAATAGCAGCTAAGCAGAGGGAGGACAACTAGTTAACAATACCCACTGTCTACTTGGTTGTTCTTAAGCATTATAACTTTTATAATGCAATCACAGCTGAATGTGAAGAACATTCCCAGTAGCAAATTGCATACTCAAACCTTGGACTGCCTGATTGCAGTCCAACACACACTGACTATTAACCCACACCCAGCCCATAATTTACTTGTAAAGTTTGTATATTTTGGAAAATTAGCACAAAGCTATTCAAGGACTGAATGTACTAGCCATACCTAATTTTGAATTGATAATCTTCAGAGAAGGCAGTAAGTCAACAGTATCACTACCAACCTTGTATGACCAAATAGTGGGACTCCATCATCACCCTTATAATGCACCCATAACTTCAAAGTGTGAAATACTACTTTATTTTTTTGCAGTAATGGAACACAAATGATGAATCTGTAAATCCAAAGACTAGCTCACTAACAACTATGCTACTTACTTGTAATGAACTAAAAAAAAATATTTTCATTCAACTCCACTGTAAGAAATTCTTACCTTGCCTTCACCATCCCTGTATCAATCACATACTTAATGCCAGGAATTGTGATTGAAGTTTCAGCAATGTTTGTTGAAAAGATAACTTTCCTGGAGCCCTGAGGGGAAAATCATTTTTAAAGCAAAGTTCCTGACAATAGCATAAACAGAAAAATTTGAAAACATCAAATCTATAAATAGGATAGAAAATATATGCATATTGTTCTTAGAGAGCAAGAATTGAGTTAACACATCTTACATATGATGATATAAAAGAGAAATTTGAATATTTAAAATTAAAGATGAAAACATATGAAAATAATAACAACATAGATTAACTCGTACCATGTTCAGGTGCATCAATTCAACACATCTCTTTTATGGTTGGTCTTATTGCATTGCAAAAAAAACTACTGAATGAAATATTGTGAAATTTCAGAATAACGTTTTACAGATTACATAGCTTCTATTAACCCTTTCAATATGGGTCACGGGTGAAAGGCCATGTCATCTCATTTGTTGATTCGCATTTAAAATTTTATTGAACTACTATTTTACGAATTTATGTCAATAAGTTTGGTATCAAACTGTAGATTATAATTCAGATTTTAGTACTATACATTATTCAATTTCTTAATCTAAAATTAAATATTTAAAAAAACACATAAACATCGATTTTCGTGTGCCACGTGGTATGTTGAATGCAGCACTGGTTCAAATTAGATGTTTGTGAAGTCGTAATACTAAGTATATAGTTTGTACAAATTAGAAACTCAAATTACTGATATTGAAAAGCTAGAATATAAAATAAGAAGGTCTTATCTTTTCTATTTGCTAAGATATTGCTCATACAATAAATCAAACACAGTGGCACCCTGCCCACTTCTTTCCATTTTTGGAAATGCTCCTTTATATAGACTTACTTCTATATATGACATGAATAACCAATCACAAGCTCAGAATGTCCCCCTGGTGGCTTTCTCAGCCATGTTAATGGAGTTGGATGCCATTTCTTTCTTTTGAACCAATATTTCAATGAGGTAGGGTGTGTTTTTAGTCTGCTCGAAATTTCATATTTTTTAGAGTACAATACATCTTAGTTACTAAGCTTGGTAAATTATAGTGGAATTATATGGTAATGATGTAGTAATTTATGATTTTTTAGTTATTCAAATGTATATATATAAAACCTAAAAAAAATATTTTATTTCATATCCTACACATGAACATTTTTTAAAGGATTATCAACCTACATCAAACAGCAACCGAGTTCAAAGGTCGTAACTAGAAGAGGTAATTGTTTGCTTTACTTCTTTATTTACTGTTCTAAATAGCAATAATCTATATACATATATAATGTATAATAATAGAAATGTGACTGTATTTTACAAAACATAGCCAAGTCAAGTTACTTTGTACAGATCAAAGGTTACTTTTGTGTTATTTGATATGGTAACATGATTGCACGTGAGCCGCGTCATTGTAGCTTATGTATTGTTAGCCAGGCATGGCTGAAAGGTCAATATAATAAATATATATAAATGTATAATGTTACAAGATTTAAGCTAGCTAGTATAAACATTTATGTTTTATGTTATAATTTGTGTTCATTCTAAAATGAAAGAGACATAATTTATATTTATTTCCTAATTTTTTATGGAAATTTAGAGATTAATTACTGAAAATAACAGGTAAAA